CCGCGGCCCACTTCGTCGACGTGATTTTCGTCACCACGGTCTGCCGGAGTCTATCGTGTCCGACCGCGACCCGCGGTTTACATCCGCGTTCTGGTCACGCCTCTTCGAGCTCTTGGGAACTAAATTGCTGATGTCGACCGCGGTGCATCCGGAGACGGATGGACAAACAGAACGCGTCAACCGAGTCCTTGAAAACGTTCTCCACAGCTACGCGACTTCGTACACGAGCTGGAGCTCGTTCCTGCCGCTAGCCGAATTCGCACTCAACAACGCCGAGCACTCCTCGACGGGCATGACGCCGTTCTTCGTGAACAACGCTTGACACCCACGTGCTCCGGCACTTCTCGCCGTGGGCCACCCCACGGACGCTGGCGGCTCCACCCTTGGCGGGGAAGAACCTCCTTCGGTCGACATGGATGCTGGAGCTGCGGTCAGCCCTGCGGACAACGAGTCCGTGTCGTGGTCATCACCGGTACGTGAGCCGGTGTCTCAGCACGCACCGGTAACCTCACCGGTGCCAACAGGCCTGCCGGCGCACTCGAATTCATGGTTATCGTCGGGTGTAGCCAGTGTGAACGCCTTGTCTCGCTCTCCGTCCAAGCGGTCCATCGAGCCTCCTCGGCGTACTGCATCTCCGATAACGAGATGGACGTCGCAGAACTTGATCGATCCAGGCAGCAAGATTCGCGAGCAGGAAGTTCCCACGGCCAATTATACATCGAAACCCTCGGTGCTTCCTGTCGATCGCTCGGCAGTTGCGGAATTTGTCATGCAAAGGCAATCCATCCATCTCAAGGTTCGTCCGCGACGCACTGCAGAACGCAGTGGACAAGTAAAAGAAACAAGCTGATAAACACCGTCGAAAGAACGTGAATGTATTCAAGATAGGAGATCGCGTTCTTCTATCGACCGAGGGAATCCGCGCTTCTACCGTAACCAACCTCGGCGCCAACAAACTTTCTCCACGCTTCATCGGCCCTTTTCGAGCAACCAAGGCTGTGGGCGACGCCTACACTTTGGACATCCCGATGTCGTTTAGACTCCTCCGACGTTTTACGTTGGGCATCTCAAGCGGTACTTCCCTGCGACGATTCCTGACCCGAGCCAGCAGACGGAGCATGCGTCGGGCGACCAGCCCGACGAGCCAGAAACCTGTCAGCCCCAGGCGCCCGCTCTCGCGGACAATCACCCTGCTTGGCAGAGCCAAGCACACGCGTCTCCAATCCCCGTAGGCAAGAAAAAGAGTTCCCGATTCGACTGCCGAAGCTCCGACGCGATCTGCTCAGCCCGCCAGGCACGATCTTCCGCCCGCTCAGCCCCAATCTGAGCGTCCAACAATCGGTTCGAAGCTGTCTCCACCTCGCCCTGGACGTACAGGACGTACGTCGTATCATCGTGAAGGACCACACTTGGTGGGTGATGCGCGCTGGATTGTGGAGCTTATCGTTGACCACGAAGATCCCCACAGCTCGACCGCTCAACTTAACGTCCAGGGTCGTGCCCCTCGCGCGGCCCCGACCGCGCGCCGCTTTCTGGTACATTGGCTCGGCTATCCCCCAGAGCATGGTACGTGGGAGCCCCGCGCCAACCTTCCCCGCGACGTTCCGGACGTGGTCCCACGAGTATGAGACCATGCTGCTTGAGAAGAAGAATTCCGCGGGTCACCCCGCGGAGACCGTGAACGAGATCGAGAACGGCCACGAGAACGACCCAGCCAAGCGGCCGGCGAACTCCGTATGCGTCTACCTCACAGACGCCCCCCGATTGATCGTGCACGAGGAGGCGACAACGATGCCGCGCTCCGACGCGTGCAACATCGGCATGAGCCGCCGCGATTAGTCGCCTGATTCATACTGGACAGGGTGTGCTCGTACTTCCCGATCCATCCCGACTCTTCTCCGCTGAGTGGCCGCTCAGCGAAATGTTCCATCCATTCGCGTTGAGTCGGACGGGTTGAAGTACCACAGGACTAACATCCCTCTCCTACGTGCACGAAGCAGAGTTGATCCATATCTCACGCGTTGTTGCCGACCTTCGCGCGCAGCTCTCCAATCGAATGATCCGAGGATCTCCTCGCGATACGCCAACCAGTCGACAAAGCTTTCTCCAGCACGCATCATCCGGCTCCATCGCCGGATGAAGGCACACCAGGAGAGACGACGTCCCTCACGATCAGCGCCTTCGATGTACTTCTTCCGCGTCGCGCGGAAGCGACGAAAGTGGTTCTTCATAGTGTCGAGTGTATCCGGATTCTCCGCTCCTGACAAGTCGTACAGGTCCCAGGGAACCAAAGCGTCATCCATTACGCGCGACCGCGTGCTTCCGTCGCTGATTCTCGTGACTGTCGGCTCTGCCGGTCTCTCGGCTGTCTAGATTACCGCCGCCGTTAGTGTGTCGATGTTTGCTGCTATCACCAGCGTTGCGCTGGTGCTAATGCCCGTTGACTGCGTCGTGTGGTCCTCGGCCATCTTCGCTCCGTTGGGTTTTCGAGTTTTCTTCAAATGCGTTCCGTGCGCCTACGTTGCGTAAGCGCAACCTAGAGAGGAGGGTGATGTAATGGGCCCAACTCCAATTACATAAGTAGGTAGATATTTCTTTAGTTATTACATAAGTAAGTAGATAAAGTGGCACACGGGTAGCGTGTGCCAAGGCGTCATCATCTGATTGGTTGATAGTGAGGAGCCATGCTCACTTATGGACCAATCAGGTATAGACATGTGTTTGAGTGGTTCACACGAGGCCAGGGGTAGCCGCCCTGGTCCTAAATAAATCAGAGTTGAAATTGACACAAACATAAGACTTGGTTTTACTAATGCGACCTTCCTCCACACTATAGTGTAAGCTAGTGACGGTAATTCTTACCCCGTTACAGACTCGCTGCAAAAAAACCAAATTGACGAAGGGCGGTTTTGCGCGAAGCCTCACGGCGGACAGCTAGATCTCAGCGCTGCTGTCGTTGACACGCCGTAGATAGTGGATTGGATGGAGTGAGTGGCAGCCGATTTGGGTGAGGCTGTGCGTATACGTGTTTGCAGGCTAGAGATGAAGGGTGGAGATAAGCCATCCAAATGCATAAGTCTATTTGTACCTGCCGAGTTTCAGAAAGACAATATCTACGCGGCCCCGACTTCGGATCAAGAAGTAAAAAACCGCGCAAACAAGAATCAACGGCAAGTCAGCAAGTCGAAAACTAAGGACAAGGAGAAAGTGCCTACCAGTAGCTGGAACTGGATCACAAAACAAAGTGATACCTTAGGGGTCTAACGTATAGATTGCAACATTTGACCTTTTTGTGTACCTGCTTGTGACAGAAGGTGCGTACGAACTTAGACTGAGATGCTATATTAACGTCTTCCAGATCAATTTTTAAAATAAGTGGCATAGTTGGATTCGTCGCGAAATTTTACCCCAGAATAGCCAATTAGTCGACGGGAAACGAACTTAAGAAGGAACTAACTTTCTGAGTTTTCATCTTGGCGAAAATGACAAACTGAAAGCATATATCGAAATATCGCGAAATGCTCTTTCGAATATCTAAAAAAAAATTAGATTTCGTTTCGGGGTGTCTCAAATGAACCTTGAGGGTGGCTCTTAACCACTGCCACGCGTGCCATGCCATGGCACTAGAAATTGAGCCATGGCATGGCGTGGTTACGAATAGAATTGCCCTGCCATTGAAAACTATTTTTAGAACATACATTATTGAAGATAAAAGTAGCATGGCACATGGCAATTGCCCTTTGCCATGGCACTTGCAAATGCCATCCCTGTCAATTTATTTACTTTAAACTCTAGCCCTAGCAAGCGCTCATCCAATCGGATCAGAGCATTTCGTGCCATGGCACTGAGAAACATGAATCCTGTCGTCCATGTGTTATTTATTCACGTCCACCGAGTTGGCTCTCAGAGATGGATACTACAGAGTAAACTTGAAACAGCCATTATTAAAGCAAATGTAAAAATTAAAGTCAACGCAGGCACTGTACTTCGAGAGTTCAAGAAACGTTCACGCAACTGGTGGCGCCTTCTGAAAATCAGGACCTCACGTCAGCGGCCACCGGAAAAGGGATACGCCCAATGTTCAGCAGTAACTATTATTAATAGTGAATACAGGGCTGCTGCGAACCGCTACAGAAAATATTCTACAACATATTCCACACAATGGCTCCAAAGTTTTTACATTACATGTGATTTACATGTGATTGGTTGCATTCTTATTATTATTATTAGCATGTAACCACGTCTGAGGTGTGAGCCTTAAGCTGCTGATACCTTTGACGTTGGAGCGTAAAAGCTTGACTGTTGGCGCCATCACCACGATGACCAGCACGAAAGGGTGAGTGTGGGTATACCAGCTGCATTCCAGTTCTGTAGCCCTGACGCAACGGGGCATTGTGCTGCACAATGCACAATTTGTGTATTAAGGTTGTCAGTAAGTAGTCGCGTTTTCACGCAGTAACCACGACATTATCGACCAGTCTGATACATCAGGGTGACGTACATCAGGGTGACGTCCGCGCATAATCGAATGGCTACCCTTCCGCCGCCTGAGGCTGAGGCTCAGGTGCTCGTTCAGGTGAGCTGGACCCAAAGATGATTGGCCTCATCGATTAAAGCTATGGCGGCCCTTTCTGCAATTACATGTATCATTGGCGTCACCATGTAAGTCGCGGGGATTGCGGCTGCTGGCAGGATGCAATGCTGCTTTGAGCTTAAGTCTCATAATCCGAGGCCAAGCTCCGCAAAGCCCAGTACCATGTATACATGAATCGACTGCCACCTTCCTGGAGCTCACTCACGCAATTTTTTTTTCAACCCGACGATGGTGGCCAAGGCGAGGAAATGGTGCAGCCGATGGCTTCAAAAAGGGGTGTCACGCGCTTCTGACTCGAAAAATCGCCCGTTTGCGCTCGTGTGATCCACGACTTCCCGCTGCACCGCTGGCGGAGTGATCGGCAAACTCAGTCCCTGGAATTTGCGCGTCATTTCCGTTTTTGCTTCGGCAGAGATCTCCTCGTCCTCGTTTTTCCAGAAGTGCCGAGTTGCAGGTTAGGCGTGTGCCTAAACTCCCAGCCGGTCATCCAGCCGGTCATTGCGTGCGACGGTTTTCACTTGATCTGGGGATTTGGGGTAACCGCTCCTCTGCCCACATTTGATCCACCCTGCCCGCAGGGCATCAGCGCCACGTCGTTCAGTTCCAGAATCTCTGGGAACGGAGCAATAGGGTCGCAGCGGGTAAGTTTTCACGTCTTTGGAAGTGGCAAATGTCAAACAAGCTTCATGCTTCCTGACAATTGCCGAACTAACAGCGTCGTCGCATTGTGATATTTTCGCTTCCGCAGGTGAGCTGCCGTGAATGGCAACAGCAGAACAAGACCGCACTCACATAATGGAAGAGCGAACCAGTTCCTTTATCGAGTTAAAGAACGATACGCCCAAGAGCAGAGGAAGTGCCCGTCCATCCGGCCGCTTGTCCCGCAGCCGACAGAGCGCCAGTATGAGTCAGAGCCAGAGCCACGCCCGCAGCCGTGTGCTCTCGCACAGTGCCAAGCCTTACACCGATGCCGACGCGAACGAAACGATCCTACGTGCCAATGCACCGCCCAACTATCATGGCGGCTTCAACGGTAAATTGTTCATTGGCAATAGTGTTTTTGGCAAACTGATAACCTAATCTTTTTTTTTGCCACTTTTTGCCAGACATCATGAAGCAAATCAAGGCCAAGAACTATTACACGCAACAATTCCAGCGCATCCAGCAACAGACTAACATGGGCCGTTCGTTGTTTTTCTCCAACGTCGCACCAACATTCTACGAAGACAACTACCTCGCCATTGCGCAGGAAACTTCCGTAGACCGAGTGCGCGCCTGTTTCTTCATCGGGCTCGTGGGTCTTACCGCACTCTACCTGAACGAGTGGCAGTCTGACCAATGGTCCAAGTCGGAGAAAAATGGACGTACGGATCAGGACGAGACGACCATTATCGTCATGACTTTTGGCGTCATGTTGCCGACTTTCATGCTGGGCATCATTGCCACTTTCACAAGCATCGGCCGGAAGTACTTGGAGAACGTCACGGCCACAGTGTTCGTGATTGTTGCCGCCATGATGATTGCCAAGAAACCCGTCGAGAAATACAAAGGCCCCATCATTCCGTTGCTAATTCTGCTGATCCCAATCTTCGGTATCACCCGCATGCGCTACATCAAGTCGTGTTGCATCGGGTGGGGCATTTTCTTCAGCTATCTCATCGTCATGATGAGTGTCCGCAACACTCTGCCACAACCCGATCTGTTCGACTCCTACACGGACATTTCGTACCAAGCTATCAACTACGGTATCACTGCAATTGGCGGTATGGTGTCGCAATACCGACAGGAACTTCTTCGTCGTCGGAACTTTTGTCTGCAACTGCCGTTCTCCGGCACAATGGACGCCGACGCTGTGGCCGAAATCAAGACGGATAAGTTCAGTAGGAAGACGCTCATGCACCGCTGGTCGCTCAAGTTCCGGCACCCAGAAGTCGAGGAATGCTTCTACCGGTACTGGTACCTCATTGACCCGTTTCCGTACGAGAATCCGAACTCGGGATCCCTCCATCAGGGAGTGTTCCGGACGATCCGCTTTGCTATCTGGACGCTCTTACTGAACCAGCTCGTGCTTCTTCTTCAAGATATCAAGTTCCTCGAAGTCAAAAAGGACGCGCTTGTCGACGATAACGACTTGACGTATGCTCTTGTACTTCGATTCGGCGTCACGGTGCCACTGTATTTCTCCGCCGCCTTGTTCATGTATTTCCTGGGTAAAGCCTTCTACGCGCGATGGGTGAAAGAAGCTGAAGCCGCCAAGAACGCCGCTCTTACCAGAGACTCGATGGTTTCCGTTGGAGTGAAACAAGATGTCGACAACAAGAGCCAAGTCGTGACCGATCCGGACGGATCCGAAGATACGGCTCGCATGAAGTTGGTCGTGGAGGCCGCTCAGATCAAATACGCGACCAAAGACCGCGTCCTGGACGTGCTCATCAACAAAGGTGGTTACGTGCGTTCGACGCAGGTCTTCTCTTCCGTGGTGATTGCCTGTCATGTGTGTTGCATGGGCATTCTTCTGCTGGCTGTATCCACGGGCGCAAAGGTCGATGCGTACGAGAAGACACACAACGCGTCTCCCGGTCAGCCGAAACCCGTGTACTATATGGGTTTCTTGAACGCCGTGCTGTTCGCACATCGCTCAGGCTTCCGTGTGCGCTTCATCTACGCGACGTACACAACTTTTGTTGTGGCGTTAGGCATCATTATCGCTGCCAGTAGCATGTCGCCAGCTTACTACCAACAGTACGCGGGCTACGTGTCTGTGATCTTCCTCATGGGAATGATGATCTCGTACGAGGAAGAGTGTTTGCGTCGATCGTTCTTCGTCCTCAAGTCGATCCGCACGCTGGAGTTTGAAGAATGGTTTGGCGTCGTGTTGCGGATCCAAGGCTGGGTTAAAGAACGTTTCCGCAAAAAGTTGCAAGATGTGCGATCCAAGGGCAGCAAAGACTTCGACAGTGCCAGGAAGGCAGAGGCTGTCGTGCCGCTCATCAACACGTCGGCGCAAATGGCGTATGCCTCCAAACTCGGCATGTACTCGCAGATGGTTAACATCATTATCGCTGTTGCAGATGTGATCACTAGCAGTCTGTAGACAGGGAGGAATGAATACGTGTAGTGAGTTGATAAAAACATATAAAGAAAAGCAAATATGTTTATAACGAGAGTGCTGGTTGGTAGTTTTGTAGCCATGGTGTTGCCAAAGGGCATCTTTATTTTTCCTCAACATCCCCGAACGAGGGAGTCAGTCTAGTTCATCGACGCTAAAGAATTTCTGGTGCGGCACGGAGTTGTCGTCCGATGCGTAGCTTCGAGACACCCGACGGTCCATTTTCTCCTGTTTTGGCGGAGGCATGGAGCTGCCCGGTTGGAATGTGTAGCTTTGCGCTCGTCGTGCGTGGCTGTTGCTACTGCTGGCGGTTGTGTTGCTGCTGTTCTCTGAAAACTGCGGCGGCTTGAAGTGTCCGGATTCTCTTAGAATACCCGAGAAATAGTCTAGTTCTTCCTGATTCCACTGCATATCCCTTGCGTTCGCTGTACTTGCTCGCTCCACAAAGTTAGCAAGGCCGTCCAGGTTCTCCGGTAGATCCGGTGGACCTGGCGGCCACGCGTCCGAGCCAACTTCAGAGAAATCGTGCGAATTAGGCGACGAAGATGGACTGCTGCTGCTGGGCTTGACACCTGAAGCTGTCGTCGATACGGAATTGGAACCCTGAAAGTTGCCACTTTCGTTAGTAGATTCGTTTAGACTGCAGATGTAGAAATTCGAAATAGTAGGACGCGTCACTTCCGAGATACACTGCGAGCAAAACCTCTCCTTGCCAGGTTTCTGTGTACGCAGCTCTTGACGGAATACGGTGCACCACTCGCGACATTTCCTGCACGTGTTTCGTCGACAACCCATACAGAGTTTGAGTGAGCCACTCAACATATTCGGCTTCTTCATACACACGTCGCAAGAGGCGCTGGTAGACGGGATACGATCGGCGCTGCTGGCTATGCGAGCTGAATACGCTTTGGCACGAGCTACGACGAGAAAGTTGCCTACAGACAGCATTCGCTCGGCCGTGATGAGTTCACTCACACTTCGTGGGAGTGTACCACCCATGGACGAACTACCCATGATAAAGCAGCCCACCCACTCCTCCTGCACCTGTCGGAAAAGGTAGCACAACGAGAGAGAACTACGCTCCAGATTATGCTGTCGGTTGGCTGGGAACTCGTCCAGATCAATCGAGTCCATAACGCAGTAGACAAAGTATCGTCCTCGACGATCGACAATCCGGCCGATACGATTGTAGAAGAGCATGTCGCGGTCGTGAATGATCGAGGCGTTCGTAGGTGTCTTAAGCGCCAGCCACTTGATGCCCGAGAAGACGACGCTACTGGTGACCTCATTCTTCTCGAACACGTGGAGCACTCTGGCGTCGAGGAACTTGTCCATGAGGACGGTGAGTCCAATCCGCATGTTCTCCGTATCGTCGAAATACATGCCACTGATCATGTCCTCGACAGTGCCAGGCATAACTCCGCTACAGAGATAAACTCGGCTGTCACGAGACTTGAATTTGCCCCTTTCCCTGTAAATGTTTAGCGAATTCTTCCGCTTGATGAGTCTCCATTGCTTGGCCGTCTTGGCATGCTTCTTGTTCGTGTGGAAGTCGTCGTACACATGCAGCGCCCTGTCCACGAGGTCATCACTCGTGGACTCGAGCTGCTGCTTCCGCTCCTTGCTGAACTGTATACGCGGGAGGCCACCGAGCGAGCTACTGAGGTCAGTCATTCCTCCGGGGTGCGAAAGTCTCCGCTGATACAATGCAAAATGGGGACTTGTAAGTCGTGGCCATGCAACGCTAAACTCGGCCCGACCACCAGTGTGCCCCCTCAAATCCCGCAGACTCGCTTCCGTCCTGTGCCAGCACCCGTTCTATGGCTACGGCGACAGGACGACGTAAGCCAAAGGCATAGTCAGCAAAACGAACCGTCCAATCTGGAGAGCTGCGGTGAGCGAACAAGCGAGGTGGTTTATGTGTATTATGGGCAGAATGTCTCCGCTAAAAACCTTGTTCAAGGTGGAGGAATTTACTTCGAGCCTCTAGGAGTTCAGACTGAACGACCGAACGAGTGGTCTCAAAATAATCTTTAGAAGAAGGAACCACCATACTTCAAATGTTAAGCAAGTATTCTCACATTTTGCTTTTGGAAAATAATTTGGAGAAATACTGGCTCAAGTGCTCGGTGCAGCCAGGCCAGGTGGAACTCTGCACTTGCACTGCGTGTCCACGCTACATACCACTGCTACCGAACCACACAGTACATGTACAGTACCAGTCATATTGTATGATCCAGCGCCATTGAGTGCTGAGAATGCAGTTTGCTGCGCGCTCTGCTCATGACTGCTGGCAATGGAGACTCTGCAATGGACTCTCCATTGCCAGCATTCACGAGCAGAGCCGCATTGGAGACTCGTCGCCTATCATAATAATAATACATGTATTATAATAATAGCGGCTCACGTATACAGCACCAATGCTTCCTGTCTTTCGACAGTGTGAGCTGAACTTTTAGTACATGCATGGCTATGTTTTCACAATTTCGGTTCAGTAAGCTTCAACTCAATTGTCGTCCTCCAGGTGCCGCAGCGGTATCAAATAAGCTCTTTTTGGCGTAATGCAGCCAATACACGAGAGCTTATTCTCCGTTAATTTCAATTCCACCCATCCATCGCCGGAACTTATAATCTGCGAGAGAGAGAGAGAGAGAGAGAGAGAGAGAGAGAGAGAGAAAGAGAGAGAGATAGAGAGAAAGAGAGAGAGAGAGAGAGAGAGAGAGAGAGAGAGAGAGAGAGAGAGAGAGAGAGAAAGAGAGACTCGATCCCGGCGCCGAATTGTCTTGCGACTCGACGTCTTTCAGCTTCAGCCTCCGCTTCGCATACCCATCTGGGTAGTGGAGCCGCACCTGGACAGTCCGACACGAGTTTTGTCACTTGATGTGTGCGCCGCAGTGGCGTTGAGCTTCAAGCTCGTCCAGCGCAGGCACCGCCTTCATCTTCAATTGCTAGAGAGACCATTTTAATTTCTAGTCGCCATTGCATATCCGTCTCCAGAGCGATGGGACTCTAATTTGGGAGCTCCGCGTTGACCGCTCTGCTCACGCAGTCGTTTCGGCTGGCAGTTTCCGTGTTGCCTGGGTTGTCACTGCGGGAGAGGATGGCAACCGACCCGCAAAAGGAGTTCAGTGTTGAAAGGCAACTTGGTTGCGGAAGAGAGTGAAAAGGCGGCCAGGGTTGGCTGCTGTTTCTCGGTCGTTGCGGCCACTTCCCTCTTTGCCAGCAAAAGCCGAAGGGTCTCGGCAATCTTTCGAGGATGAACAAGGAGAACGCCAAGGTGCGCGGCAACCAGCGCAAGCTGACGTTCCAGCGCCGAAAGAAGCCTACCCAACGCGTTGCGCATCGACCCCAATGCGGCCCCCACACGCACCAGCACGTTCTTCGGCACGGTGGGCTCGCCGATCAAAATGGGCACAGGAAACGCCCCGGCAGGCCGTCGAGCACCCAAACTGCCACCACGACCGGCACCGGATGCGCCTGTTGACTCGGAGGCTGCGACGCTAGATATCAATCAAAAGGCAGCTTTTCGGGAGGAGCTTCGACGGCAGCAGAAGGCTAAGCAACGGGCCGAAAAGGCCACGCAGCAGGAAAAGGAGAAAGAGACGAAGAAAGAGGAAGAGGCCGTGGCCACAGTCCGCAATGACAATGGCCGCAAGCAGCGAGGTCGCCGCAACTCGACCGAGTTCCTTGGCCAACCTATGGAGCCCGTGCAGCAGCTAAAACTGGACGGGGCCAAGAAGGCTAAGATTCCACATTTCCTTTCAGCCTGGTTCAATGCCGGTCATGACACAAAGGCCACCAACGACACCGACAACAGCGACGCCGAGTCAGCCAAGACCGACCTGACTATTATCAGTATTGACGAGAAGGATGTTCCGGTCGAGCCTGTGAAACAAGAGGCCAATGCTGCGGCCAAGCCTCCGCCAGCTCCAGTCGAAGTGTCTAAGGACAAAACAGCGATGAAACACAGACCCACGAGCTACAGCCAGAACATCAACTTCAGCGAGATCACTTTGGGCCGGATGATCGGAGAAGGCGCTTTTGGCAAAGTACACGAAGGCAAATGGCGTGGCAAAAGTGTTGCCGTCAAGTTGCTTATCTGCCAAGACTTGCGAAGCGACATTCTAAACGAGTTTCAGTCCGAGGTGGAAATTATGAGTGTGCTGCGTCACCCGAATATTTGCCGACTTTTGGGCGCGTGTATGGAGCCGCCACACCGCGCGCTTGTGGTGGAGCTGTTGCAACGCGGATCGCTGTGGGGAGTGCTGCGAATGAACCGCAAATCGATCGACCAGGAGATGAGATCGCGCTTTATCTACGACACGGCCAAGGGCATGTCGTATTTGCACCACTTTGAGCGCCCTATTTTGCACCGAGATTTGAAAAGTCCCAATTTGCTCGTGGACAAAAACTTCAACATCAAGCTGTCGGACTTTGGCCTTGCTCGAGTGAAGGCTCATGTGCAAACCATGACAGGCAATTGCGGTACTGTCCAGTGGATGGCACCGGAAGTACTGGGCAACCAAAAGTACACAGAGAAGGCCGACGTCTTCTCGTTTGGCATTGTCATTTGGGAGATTGTTACAGGTGAGTGCCCGTACGACGGCATGAGTCAGATTCAGGCCGCGCTCGGTGTGCTAAACCGCAACTTGAGGCCCAATATCCCTCGCGACTGCCCGCCGTTCTTCTCACGACTGATGAAAGCGTGCTGGAACCGTCAGCCGGAGCTGCGACCCAGCTTCCCGCACATCGTCAACGCCTTCCGCACGTACCAGAGCTCCATTTCCGAGTCGCGTGCGACCAGCAGCGCCGCGGCGTCGGCCAAAGCCGCCATGGCCGCTTCGGTGGCTGCTTCATAGGCTGCCACTGCGAGACGCTGGTGATCGCAGTAGACTCGACTCAATTGGCTGAAGACACTACGCCAACAAGAGATACACTGCTTGGTAAATGAGGACAAGCAGACAAGGGACACTCGAAATGACGATACATGTGCTTTCATTGTTTTGCGCTTTGTTTTACTTTTTGTTTTCCTTCCGCTTAGGAGTGTTGATCTGCCACTTCGGCTTTACATTCATTCTGTCATTTTCAACGTGGCAAAAACTGAAATTAAACTGGCAACACGTTTTTCAACGTATTCTAGTACAAAGAAAAAAGCAAAAGTTTGTTGTGATTGTATGTATTGTGGTCACGAAGGTCAAGACACTATTCACGCATCTTACTCGACACTTTTCGTTTGCTCTCACCTCGCTCCCACGCATCTACTGCAGTTGCTCTGCAGAAAATATCTACGCATCGACCTTGGACACGACACCGGCACCAATGGTGCGGCCGCCCTCACGGATGCTGAACTTCATACCGGAGTCCAGAGCGATGGGGTGGATAAGCTCAATGTCAATGGCCGTGTTGTCACCAGGCATGACCATCTCCGTGCCGTCCTTAAGCAGGATGTTGCCCGTCACGTCAGCGGTACGGAAGAAGAACTGCGGTCGGTAGTTGCTGAAGAACGGCGTGTGGCGGCCACCCTCCTCCTTCTTGAGCACGTACACCTCGGCCTCGAACTTGGTGTGCGGGTTGATGGTGCCGGGCTTGCACAGCACCTGGCCACGCAGAACCTCGTCGCGCTTTAGGCCGCGCAGCAGCAGGCCAACGTTGTCACCAGCCTGGCCACGGTCCAGAGACTTCTTGAACATCTCGACACCCGTGCACGTCGTCTTGGTGCTCGGCTTAAGGCCGACAAGCTCCACTTCGTCACCGGTGTTGATAATACCCTGCTCCACACGGCCCGACACGACGGTACCACGGCCCGAGATGGAGAAAACATCCTCAACGGGCATCAGGAAGGGCTCCTTC